ATAAACTTCGAATATAGCGTGTAAAGCGGTTGCATACGACGAGTGAATGCTGCTACTTGAGATAAAGTAGTTATTGCGATTTTATTCTGGCAGTCTTTGATAAGCTCTTCCAAGTTTATTTCTGTTAGAATATTGTCCTCAATGCTCATCAGAGCAAAATGGCTGAGTTTACTGTGATTCGTTGTCATACGTGGTCTGTTCTTCATCAGCTGAAATTGATCCAACAAATAAACTAAATGCTTTTCCTTCGTCTTTAAAGCAACTATGTTTATTCTTCCTTTGAATAATGTGAAGGCCCTTGTTTGTGGAGGCTTCTAGACAGCTTCCTTTGGTTAATCCGTCCCTGCTCCTGAGAGGAACTACTGTAGCATCAAGTGATGTTATAGTAGGTGAGATAAAAGTGGGTAATTCACTTGAGAAACGTTCAAATGAATTACCTCAAATATATATTATAGAGTATACAAGATATTGCAACATGGGGCAAAATGTTGCTCAATCTTCAAATGCGATGATGTTTTATAAACCTTCGTACCTTACCGTAATAATTAAACAACCTTTTCAATGAAATCGAGCAGAGAATATATTGCATGAGACATTCGTTAATTATCTTGTTTTTATCTAGGTATTTTGAATTATATCGCATGTAATAAATCGTTTGACAATGTTACAGAACACTGCATGTGTTATAACATTGAGGGTGTTACAGCACAATGCACGGTTGAAACGATAAGCTTTCCGCGAGTCTTATAATCTTCAAAGAGTTGTTCACTTAACATACATGTTCAGTCATGTACAGTGTCGAGCGTACGGACAGTGAAAGAACGCGAACTCTGGCAGTGGTATGTGCTAAACAATTGTTTGTTTCCATTAAACAAATAACTCCTTCTTCAGTCTTTTTAGGTACAAGAGATGAAGATCAGGAAGAAGATAGAGGAGTACGTTATTATTTTTCCTGTCCTTATCTTAACTTGTTTTTAGATTTTTCGTTTAGATGAGGAGGAGGCTGATGAAAAGTAGAGGAGGATGCTGACGGAGAGACAAGAAGGATGCAGATGAAGAGACGAGGATGCAGATGAAGAGAAAAGGAGGATGCAGATGAAGAGACGAGGATGCAGATAAAGAGAAAAGGAGGATGGATGAAGGGAGGGAGGATGCAGATGGAGAGACAAGGAGGATGCAGATGAAAGACAAGGAGGATGGATGAAGAGACGAGGAGGATGCAGATGAAGAGAGACAGAAGGATGCAATGGAAAGACGAGGGAGGATGCAGATGCAGAAGAGACAAGAAGGATGCAGATGAAGAGACAAGGAGGATGAGATGAGACAGGAGAAGAGATGGATGATGAAAGGCGTCAGATGATCAGATGAAGGACAAGAAAGAGATCAGGGATGAAGAGAGAGGAAATGCAGATGAAAAGATGGACGATGGAAAGAAGAATGGATGAGCAGATGAAGGAGAAGATGAGACGAGAATCAGACAGGAGGATGGCAGAAAGATCGTGAGGATTGATGAAGATGACAGAGAAGGACGATGGCGGAGATGTAGATGGAAATTCGAGGATCAGATGATGTCAATGGAATCGAGGGATGAAGAGACGATGGATGCAGAGATGAAGCGAAGAATGCATGGAAAGACGATAGGATGCAGATCAAAGAAGAGTAGATGCAAATGGCGAGACGGAGAATGCAGATCGAAAAGATCAAGGATGGCAAGGAAGGAGGGAAGGATGCGAGAGAAAGGCGATGGAATGGATCAGATGGAAAGGAAGGATCGAGAAGGATGGAAAGGATGGTGACAAAGATGGAAAGGATGGAAGATAAAGAAAAGGAATGGAAAGAAGAAGGATGGATAGAAGGACAAAGATCAGATAAAGATGAAATGGAATGGAGATGGAAGGATGGAGATGGAGGATGAAAGAAGATGACAAAGAGATCGACAGATAAGAAGATGAGATAAGGATGATGCGACAAAAGATCGATGGAATAGAGATCGATGGCGGAAGAAAGATGAGAAGGAGCAGAGGAATGTGATGAGATCAGACGGGAGGTGATGGAAAAGACAAGAAGGATGGGATGAAGAAAGATGGATGAAGAACAAGAAGATGAGGACGAAGATCAAATGGAGAGACATGAAGGATGGATGAGGATTCTGGATCAGCTGGAGGATGAAATGGATGAGGGATGGATGAGAAAGGAAAGAAGAATGAAGGATGAGATGGAAGGATAAATCAGGTGAGGAAATGAAATCAGCTGGGATGATGAGAAAATGAGGTGATGGAAAGGAGACGCAGATGCGAAGATAGGAAAAGTGCGTGGATAACGAAAGAAAGGATGGATGGAAAAGGAGCAGATGGATGAGGAAAAGAAAAGAATGGATAAGATGGAAAGACGAAAGAGGATGATGGAAAGACAAGGAGGATGGATGGAAAGACAAGGATGGATGAATGGAAAGACGAGAAGGATGCATGAAAGACGAAAGATGCAGATGGAAAGGCAGAAAAGGATGCAGATGGAAAGAAGAGAAGGATGCAGATGGAAAGAAGAGAAGGATGCAGATGGAAAGACGAGGAGGATGCATGGAAAGACGAGGAGGATGCAGAAAAGACAAGGAAGATGCAGATGGAAAGACGAGAAGGATGCACATGAAGAGACGAGAAGGATGCACATAAAAAACGAGAAGGATGCACATGAAGAGACGAGGATTTAAATCAATTACCTCAATTATATATTACAGAATTGTATATTCTGTAATATATGAATTAAGAATTCATTTGATATTGCAACATGCGGGCAGAGTGTTGCAAAATCTTTATAAACCTTAGTGCCTTACCGAAATAATTAAACAACCTTTTGGATGAAATCGAAAAGAGTTGAGCAGAGAATATATTGCATGAGACATTCGTTAATTATCTTGTTTTTATCTAGGTATTTTGAATTATATCGCATGTAATAAATCGTTTGACAATGTTACAGAACACTGCATGTGTTATAACATTGAGGGGTGTTATAACACAATGCACGGTTCAAACGATAAGCTTTCCGCGAGTCTTATAATCTTCAAAGAGTTGTTCACTTAACATACATGTTCAATCATGTACAGTCATGGATATAAATGTTTTAGCATGATAAAACTATTACAATGCGAAAGCACGATCTCCATAATCACTTGCCATGATATTGTTGTTGCATTTTTATAGACATGTCGAGCGTACGGACAGTGAAAGAACGCGAACTCTGGCAGTGGTGGGTGCTTACAATTGTTTGTTTCCATCAAACAAATAACTTCTTCTTCAGTCTTTTTTTAGGTACAAGAGATGAAGATCAAGAAGAAGATAGAGGAGTACGTTATTATTTTTTCCTGTCCTAATCTTAACTTGTTTTTAGATTTTTCGTTTAGATGAGGAGGAGGCTGATGAAAAGAAGAGGATGCTGACGGAGAGACGAGGAAGATGCTGACGGAGCTACGAGGAGGATGCTGATGGTCCTGCGAGGAGGATGCTGATGGTCCTGCGAGGAGGATGCTGATGGTCCTGCGAGGAGGATGCTGATGGTCCTACGAGGAGGATGCTGATGGCGCTACGAGGAGGATGCTGATGGCGCTACGAGGAGGATGCTGATGGTGCTACGAGGAGGATGCTGATGGTGCTACGAGGAGGATGCTGATGGTGCTACGAGGAGGATGCTGATGGCGTTACGAGGTGGATGCTGATGTAGCAACGAAGAGGATGCTGATGGAGCGACGAAGAGGATGCTGATGGAGCGACGAAGAGGATGCTGACGGAGAGACGGGAAGCATGCTGATGGAGAACAAGATGAGGTATAAAAATTTTTTTATTTGTTTCACTGACTTGTAGCTTAGTGACTTCAGTCTTTTTTCAGGTTTATGTGTTTGTTTTTATTGTATCGCTAATTTGTTCTTTGGCTATCTTTTAGATTTTTAAGAAATCTTGGATTTTGAGAGAGCATATATACTCTGTTGAATTCGGCGTATTCTTACTAAGTCAGAGAGTTCCCTCGCTCTCTGACTTAGAAAACAATTTTGTGGTAAAGTATTTCAAAGTAGGCTCCTGCCACCTATTTTGGAATAATGTTGTACAAATTTCTATTAAGTAATGATTTTAGAATAATAAAGTTGTTTGAAAAGCATTTATGCCGTGATGAATAAATAACATCCATCGGTAGTTTTGAAACGACTGTCAGCTTAAAATATGCATATGTATTTAAATTAAACATGGTCACCATGCCAGCAAGTGTCAGCGTTTGATAAATGTTTTTCGAAATACGCTTTTCAATGCAATATGGAAATTTGTCATCATAACGTGCACAAAATCGCTGTTTCGTAATAATATATACGCAATTTTAACAAATATTTAATGATGTTTGGGGCTGTTTTCATTCAACCGTAGCTATAGTGTGTTTTCTTTTGACGTCATATAAGCCATGTTGGGAGAGTACATGAGAGTGTCGAAGCTCAGCAAAGCATAAAATTAGCAGAAATTCTTTTCACTGTATGGAATTTTGCCCCAACATGGTAACTGATGAAAACAATTTAGAGGAAGAAATCATTAAGGTGTAAAATGATTTTTTCATCAGCTGGCAATCCATTTGGGACTTTTCACAGTATTTTTAATTCACGAAAATTTACATAAAACGTACAAAATGACATACCTCGCAACAAGTATAAAACATGTGAAAATTGATCATCAAATTTACTGGCATTTCCCCAGTATAGTAGCGGCATCTTCTTTCGTGTTTAGAGATTATTTTACACCTCAATGTTTTCTACTCTCATGTCCTTAGACCCAAAAAAAAATTTACATCTGTAATGTAATGTATGATAAACTTAAGAATAAATTTAAGAGAAAGGAACTTCTCAAACGACTTCAAGTAATATGTAAGTTTTAGCAAGTAAAATGTTCGTACAATAAATTATAAAAACAATCTCAAACATTGTTTAAGATTTTTAGACATTAAGCTGGCTTGAAGACCACTGTTTTTTGCAAAAAATTCGGCAATTTCGAAGTGATGTATTTCGCCTCCGTACCTTCAATGGCGGCGCTCGTGCAGGCTTCAAAGATGGCGTCCAAGTTAGCCTTCCAGTTGTTGTAGAGTTCAATGGGTTTAAATAAGGTCGAGATCATTGAGCTCTATAGTTAGAATTGAAAAAAATTGACTGTGCCTTTGCAAATATGTGATTCAACTGCAATGATGCACATCGTGCACCAAAAATGTAAAGTCACCATTTAATTGAAGAGCTTGTAGGTAGGAGATACAACAACTAATGGTCAAGCTTTATGTAAAAACCGGATACAATATCTTTATGATTCGTAAAATACCTGCTTAAAAAGGGCGTACATCTTTAACTTCAATTCATTCCCTGGATCTTGAATTAAAGATCCTACTTTGTCTTTGCTTCTTTAAACTGGTGGGAGATTGCAGGAACTTTCGAACCATCTTCGTAAAATGTTCAGGTTTAAATAAGGTCGAGATAGATAGTTCACTATACCACGACGAAAAATTGCATGTAATTTACAAACTCTTGGCGTCACGTTCATTTGCTATAATAAAATTTACAATAAATATTTTTTTATTATTGATTGAACTATGGACGAATAAGAAAATTCATATCTAGAAATGACATGAATGAAAGGCAAAAGTAAATAAAAATGTGACTATTTTTGACCAATGACATTAGGATGTTGATAGTGGTTACAATGGATGATAGTGGATAATTATAGACATGCTTTCAAAATGGCGTATGCTGAACAATTTTATTTTCAGTCAACTTGGAGCACACTTAATCATTTTATGGCAAGAATAGGTAAATGTTGGCTCAACTGTATAAAATAAGGCGTTCAAGGATGCAATTCGGAAGCGTAAAAGACTTGAGGCATATGCAAGAGAACTATCTTCACGTAGCAGACTGACATTTGTGGTGAATTCACTGAATTGCTCTGGAAGCTAACAGTTATTGGTTGTTATTCTGGCTATGTGAAACCAATCTATCTGCATGAGTTCTATCATGATTTTAAACAGCAAATCGATGCGTTGCGTATGAGTTGTATCGACCAGCTTACTACACAGTCAACACTTCACCAATTTGGAATTTGAAACATTTTGGTGATAAGAATTTTATACCGACGTATCCCTGCGATAAAAGACTCACAAGAAAAACTGTTTTGTTCAGAGTAAGGTAAAATATTTTACTCTCTGATTGCCTAAATATTCTTTGAGTATTTAAAACTGGCTCATATAAGACCATACATGTATGTAGTTAATGGGATCTACATTTTAGCTAGCGTGTGCAATATTTTTATAAGTAAAACGATGCACGGTAGTGAGGTAACTTAGTGATTAAATGTACTTGAAAGCCGAGGGAGATTTTGTAGTAAAAGTCACAAGACTTGTAGCACCGGACTTTAGCTAACCTGCCAGGGCTTTCAAGTGCATTTGATTGCCAAAATGTTTTAGTCAGTGCTTCACACACTGTTTATAAATTTGGATCTGCAGCTATTATTACCTAAGTGAAGATCTATTGATTGTCATGCTTTATTTTATCTCCATGTTTTTTTTATATTTTCACCATCATATGGGGGATGAAGCTTTCTATGTTTACAGATGTATACCATTGTGAATTTATAATTTCATTGCTATCACAATTTATAGATTAATATAAAAATTTTTGATGCTATGAGATGGTCTCATCAATGTGCAACAATTGAACTGGATTTCCAACTTCCTGAGAGATTCAACCTCACGCTAGGTAAGTTTTGCCAGTAAGCTTTTCGTTGAATAACCTCACTACGGTCTTGATACTTAATTTATTCAACCAACAGTGACATGATTATTTGTTTCTATAGAAACCTATTGTTATATATTTATATGCTTATATGTACTATATTCTTATATGCAGCCTGCTACATTGCTGAACACTGAAAGTCCCACCTGCATTCAAACTAATAAACCACCCACCATATAAGTATATAGTTACATTTAATATTGCAATGTTAACAGATAATTGCAATATAATAGTTAATAGTCCATGCATGTATCCCTGTGCATCCATCCCCCCCATGTAAATATCATTGATAATGGCTCACAAACATATGTAAGCCTGTGTATTATAGTCAGAGGATTACGGCACAGTTTAAGTTTCCATGAAATTGTAGATCTTTACAAATTGTAGCAATTTAGTAATTTATCAATATTCTATTACTCTATTGACAGTGGTGAAGGATTTAGAAAATTACATCCTGTTATTATTCATCAAGCTATTGTAGGTTCAGTTGAAAAATGATTGCTATTCTAAAGCTTTGGTGGAAAATGGTGAGTGTTTTCTTGGCTCATGCCAGAGCTTAAAGCAAATGAAATGTCCTTAAATGTTAAATTAAAATGATACAAAGTTTCTTAATTGTTTGGAAATTTTTATCATTTTTACTCTACTACTTTATTTCAAAATTTTGGCACTGCATTTTCTGTTATTTTCTAGGATTTTATGGCTTTCTCCCCATCAAGTTGTAGTAATTCCTGTCAGTAGTAAATATGATGATTATGCCGAACCGGTAAATTTAATTTGGTAAGCCTTAGATCGAACTTGAACAGGCTAATGCAAACTCAGCTATGGACAAATTGTTGCTATTTTATGAATTGGAATTTTTTTGTCCTTTTTTTTTTATTGACATTTTGGTCATGTTTAGATTCAAAAGAAGTTCCATGCAGCTGGTTATCGTGTTGATACAGACTTGGATCACGGATCAACACTAAGTAAGAAAGTTCGCAATGCACAACTTTCACAGTACAACTTCATTCTTGGTATGAATAAGTCTTTTTAAATTATTTTTTATTTACTGTACAAATAAATAGAAATTAAAATGGTTTGGAACCACTGTTGGTGTTCAGAGTTTACTGACGTTTCCACAACATTAGTCAGGTTCGCCGTATCTGTTCTCTAGACGTCATGACACTTCCAACATTGAAACAAAATCAAGCATGGCAGAAGAGAAACAACGACGCCAGGTTGAAGATAGCTTGATGAAATTGAACGTAGTTGAAGCACCTAGCATACGCTCGAGAGTTTTGGATGAGGACTCGTCAACCACTGAAAACATGAATGAGTCCAAGCATGTTTACGACGATAAAGGCTCTTGCGAGGTAGGCTGTAGCGACATATCGAATTATCGATAAATATCGGGGGTTTTTTAAATATCGGTTTATCGATATTGGTTTTTTCGGTATATCGATATATCGATGTACCGAGAATATCGAAAAAATATGAAAATATTCGTTGTTACGATATATATATAGTTATTATACATAGTTTTTAATTGTGTTTTGTTGGTTTTAATAGCTTTATAGCGGTTTTTAAATGGTTCTGTATACAATGTATTAGACAGACAATCTTCACCCAATCACACGTTCGGGGTAATTGTCGGCTAAGGTTCAATTTGATCTATTTATGAATCATTGCGAACAACACTACAAAAAAACCCCAAAAATATCCGAAAATATATCGTCATATCTATATTTTTTTCGAAGCGGGATTTATCAAGCACAAAAGGGACGACACTTATCAATGCTGAAGGATTGTCCCTGTATGAAATATCTAAGTTATAAGATTCGGCTATGAAATGCACACTAAACGGCAAAATATGACGGAAAGTGGGTTTAGGAGGAAGGTATGCGAAATATGTTCTATCGTATGCCAGCAAAAACAATGTAAATTTCTTGAAACAACGAAAATATAAAAATTCGATCTCTGCCACGAATAATTGTTAATTTGTGCAAAATTGCCATTTGACCATAGCTGGTGTATGGTAATTTCCTCAGTAAATATTAAACTCATGTAAATTTTTTCTCGCATGACCACCCCTAAAAGTGAACTTTCGAAACACCATAAACACTACAGAATTGTTTGAAGATTGTTTTGGTGTCTGCTTATGAGAGGTTGTAAATAAGTTAATAGTAAGAGTATTGGCAGGGACCTAATAGCAGTGTCTGCTTTCGGAGGTGTCCGTTAGTAGTAAAGTTCTGACTGATTTTGCTTATAGTTTCGTCTATAAAGTTTCTATAGGGTAACTAGTTTTATAAATGAGAACAAGTAGTTGCGTTCTGTTTTTTGGCTTCTTCTGTGCTGCAGTGAGTGTTAATTCTGTTGAAAAGTGTTCGAATGTTGCTTATTTTGTGTTGTGTGGAATGATTACGGTTGAAATCAAGTATTTGGTCTGTAAGGGTATTTATGCCGTATAATTGTTTGTTTAGTCTTGTTGTGTTTTTTTGTCTTTAGTGAAGGTTATCTTCTTTGTAGTATTTTTATGGTGTGTAGCATTTGTCCAGTTTTGGCTTTCTTGACTATGGCAAAGATATCGTCTTTATATCTATTCCATAGTCTGTCTGTTTCATCTGTGCTGTTGGTGACTGATTGTGTTTCGAGGTTTTGCACGACAGCTTTTGCGAGGAAGGTGTATAGTGGTGACCCCATTGATTCGCTGAAAGTTGTCTATAGTATGAGTTTTAGAAGAAGAATTCAGTGGAGAGGCAAAGGTTGAGTAAGTCTAGGATTTTATTTGTCTAGTTGTGTTGTTTGGTTATGTCTAATGGTATGGATGTGAATAGTGATGGTCACATTGTAATTAGATATCATGATTTTGTCTGGTCAATAGTTCATATGTATGTGATCCTGGAATTAAGAACAAAAATTGGAATGTAAGACCTTTAAGAAAGTTTTTGAAAACATGGGAAAGTACGATTCACCAATCAAGTGAGTTCAATAAGTGGGAAATAAACGCATGAACAATCTTTGAGATTTAGGTGCGTGAAATATAAGTTTTGGAATTTAAGTGCTTTAACTATAGTCTTTGGATGTTAGGTGCATGAACTATAGTCTTTGGCAGCTCTTTCATGAACTATAGTCCTTCGGAGTAAGGTGCATGAACTATAGTCTTTGGTAATTAGATACATTAACTATTTTCTTTGGTGTTAGTTGCATGAACTAAACTCTTTGGGAAATAGACGCATGATCTTATAGTCTTTGCGAGTTACGTGCGTGAAATATAGTCTTTGGGAGTTAGGTGTATGAACTATAGTCGTTCCGAGTTTAGGTGCATGAAGAAGAATTTTGGGAGTTTAGTCTTTGAAGTTGGGTGTGTGAAAGATATTCTTTGAAAGTTAAGTTTGTGAACTATAGTCTTTGGGAGTTAGGTACATGAACTATATTGTTAAGATGCACGAACAATATACATATATATAGATTTTATAGCCTTTAGGTGCATGAACTAAAGTCTTTGTGAAATAGACACATTTAGCTATAGTCTTTGGGAGTTAGGTGCATGGAAAATTTAACTGTCTTTTCAGCATATGAAGTTACCCCCGATGACACACACACACTATGATCAAACGAAACATTTTTCTTGCGAGCGCTTTATTAGCGATTAGAACCGATGGAACTCGATTACCATTTCATTTATTTCAACGGTGTCATGAGATCGTTTAAGTCGCATGAACTATAGTATTATGGAAATAGACGCATGAACAGTCATTGCGAGTTAGCAAAATTACTTTGTGCTCAGCAGTTCGAAGTAGGTGGCAAACTACTTTGAAACAACTTCACAATTCGCTAAAATTCTAATTCAAATTAGAAATCGGGCAATGTCTATTATTCTATGCAACACGAAACTCGACTGCGACATGGCAAAGGAAACGCGGAATTATTGCAGAACTTTTATCTTTCAAACATTTCGAGAAGGAACTCAATTCACTTTTGGCGAGATTTTCACTAGTTTCTAGACAGGTTTGTCTGTCTATTTTTACGAGGGAGATGGATTGAGCACTATTAGAAAGCAGAAGGAGAGGGAGGGGGTGGGCAAAGCTTAGCAACTAGAGGGAGAGGGGACAAGGGACCTTTGAAAATTCAATAAATTTCTATTGTTATTCATGGACGTTCACGTCGCAGATGATGAAAACATTTACAGTTTTGAACTTTTAAAAAATCCATGTCAGCAAATAGTAAAGCAGCATACTTAATATTGTAGTGCCTTCGAGAAACAGACGTTGATGGTCAACAGTAATATACAAGAACTTGAGGATAAAAATCACGAGAAATGCGATTTGTTTCAAAAGTACATCAGCAACGATGATATTTTTGATGGCATCGTAAGAAGATGGTGGACGAGCTTACAGGAATAATTTACCATCAAGGTATATTTACGATCAGACTTATGTCGCGTGCAAATATTTATTGTACAAATAGGATATTGTGTCCCCAATGATCCGTTTGTAACCTTTACGCAGCTGAATTTGTAGCGTTGTTGGTGTAAATCATTCGTAACTTGAGTTGAATAACAAAACATATTCGTTCATTTAACCACGATTTTTATAATCTTTACTTTTGAGGAAAAAAATTGCGTTTTGAATCAAGTTCCAAAACATAGCAAAAAAACTTTTGCTGGAAAATTTCGAACACTCGTTCTGTATCGTTCAAGTCATTGAGACTTCAGTGTTTACTGCTGGCGTGACGGACTTCTTAGTCGCAACAACCTTCTTTCGTGCGCATTTGTTGAAAAATGATGCAGTTGTTAAAAAATAATTGCCAATACTTAACATGTTGTCACGTGACATCAAGTAGATGTTTGCGCAGATGCTTTTGTACGCTTAACACTTTGGTGAAAATGGTTTTTATCAAACTGAATAACATACACAGAAAGAAAATGCATGGAATATTTCATCAACAAGAATCAACTTAATGTTTCAACTACATTTTTGATTTGCGTTGTAAAAAAGTCATCACTGCTTGCGCGCATTCTTCCCAGACCCATCTTTGAGCAATCAGTTCGCATTCTATATTACTTTCATTATGGAGTTTCTCCAGTTCAGCTGAGTGACATAATTTCTTCGACATTGAGAGCGACTGCAATGGAGAGAAGCATTGTATGGTTAAATGAAACGAAGCAATAACTTTAAAGTCCAGATTTGTGCTACCTTCGGCGGCAACGCAGCCACGTATTTCATTATGTTGTTAATTTCTTTTTCAAACTCGGCTTGAGGAATAACTTTTGTCACCAAACCGTAGTTACACGCTTCGACCGCAGTCAGTTTTTTTTCCAACGAGTAACATCTCATTCGCCTGAGTGCAAACTAATACGAAATGTGTGAAAATCATACCTTAACTCTTAACTGCATTAAGATAACGATACCTTGTTAATAATTGAGTTAATTAAACAAGAAGAACAGGGCTCAAAATAACGGTCAGGCAACGGACAATGATTTTCAAAAATACCTATGTATCGGTAACATTTTCAGTTTTCCCATAATAATTTATTATTCGGTTTTCCTTTCAATATGTTTTTGCAATATTGAGCGTCAATTTTTTTCATACGTAAAAACCATGCTTTCTCTAGTAATTATATGCTGGCTCGGGGCTTGTTGCATTGAAGTAACGATTCCGTTCTCGTAAATTGTGTCGTGAAAAGCGGCACGCGGCTTTGGCTGAAAAACTTGAAAAGTATATTTGGAATGTGAGATATATTGACATCGGACATTTCTCGTTTTGCTTCCTTTGCAACATTACTCCTTTTACATTTAGGCAAGGGTAAAGTTCGTTCGTTGAATTTTGGTGAAGAAGCCATTATCAATGAAATTGAAAGCGATGTGGTAAGTTTATGTTATGTTTCTATATCTTTAGATGATTCTTGCCTTGATGTATTTTTTTCAATCATATTTAGCAGATATAATCACCAACAACTTGATTTTCACGTTTGCTAGCGGCAGGAATACGTCTAAAAAAGATATTGTGATAAAAGAGTCATCCCATAAAAATCTATTGTATTTAATTATTGGTACTTAGGTGTGTGAAATGTAATCTTTGGAATTATGTGCATAAACTATAGTTTTTGAGTGTGAGGTGCATGAAATATAGTGTTTGCAAGCTAATTGTGTGAATTATAGTGTTTATGAGTTAGGTGCAGCAAGTATAGTCTTAGTGAGTTAGGTGGATTCATTATAATACTTGTGATTTAAGGGCATAGGCTATAACAGTCAGGAGTTATGTTCATAAACTCTAGTCTTATGGTGTTAAGTGCAGGAACTATAGTCTTTGAAAGTCAATGTAATATATTATGAAAGAAATGCATGCGATTTTATGATAAATTAATTTTGCTGATGCATTGTTACTTTGCATATCATTATTTCATATTTTCTCATATTGTAGATCCCACATGGATAGAGTTGTGAAAGTCCCTTTACTACCTCTGTCATTCACTTCAATTACTCTTACTAGTTTTTCATTGTTCATGTGTCATGGTGATTCATGGCCAAGAATGTTTTTTTGTAGTTTGGATTCTTTGTGGATGTCAGTTGTTTGTTCGTATAATGATGACGGGCCCCATTATTATACGAGCCCACCTGAAGGTGGTCAACTGATACTTGCAGAAGATCAACTCTGCACTAAACATTCTTTATGCGATGATATAACTGGGGTATTGAAGTGGTCCCTTTCGCTTTGCTCAAAGTTGCGTATATAAAGAAAGGAAGTAGCTACAAAAGAAGATGGAAAAAGTTTGGTTATAGCCAACATCATTAATAGAAAACGTTTTGTGATAAATGATTATATGCCTCTTGATTTATCTCTATTGTTCTTGTGAAAATCTCAATGGTTTTTATTGATGGTACTGATTTTTGGTTTGTTTATTGAATGGCACATTTATGCTGTTAATTGCATAGAGGTACAGATTGTTCAAATTGTGGTGTAGACTTGCAGTAAATGCGACCTACGACTTCTTCTCACGTGTCCTAAACCTTTGATCGCTGCGGTAAACGGTCCAACAGCTGGATTTGGTCTTTCCCTTATCGCACTGTCTGATACAGTCTTTGCTTCAGAAAAGGTAATGTATTGAGTTAGTAAAATTATTCATCCTAGCTGGTCTGACTTCATCTGTGTTTTCAAGTGTTTAATTTCAGAGTTATATTTAATATGGAAAATAGTGATTGTCTCAAAAGAGTTTTTTGCGCATACCGTCACGTCACTAACATTTAAGTCATTTTTGAGAGTTTTGTGGAAAAAAGAAAGGAATTGATATAATTTTAAAAACAGCCAAACTTTCTTTAATATCATATGTCAAACATTTATTGAGTCGTTTTTCATTGGTCAATTTACTTCGCCAATGAATGCAATAAACACGTCAATAATACATTCAGACGAAAATCCCCAAAGTGAGAAAGTTTATTTGGTAACGGGGCGATATTAAACCTCGACGGGTTCAGTTTCCTTTACCCCATACTTCCCTCTTTACCCACACCCCTTAATATAATTGAGTACTTTATTCACTCCCAGTGACTCCTCAGTACAACATTACGTAATTTTTATTTCAGTTTACATATTCGTCGTGTTTTTAAAGGCAACTTTTCAAACGAAGTTTGTGGAGTGGGGTCATCCTCCAGTTGGATGTTGCTCTCTATCTTTACCTCATTTATTTAATCATTCACAGGTACATGTGACTTGTTTATATTAAACAGAGGCCTGGGCACAAGGTCATATTTTGAATCGTTAGGTATTTGAGTTGTATCCACGCCTATTGATCACTTTATATAAAGATTTAAATGTTTTGTTTTCTTGAACCTGAGAGGATGTGTTATGTTCTGAGGTGTTAAAAATTAACTGTGAGATTGAAAAGTTATTAAAACTACGAATAGCTTTATCTAAGTTCCCACAAAATGCTTTACTCCCTATCCCTACCCCCCCCCCTCGCCTCAAAGAAAGTGTATCGTGAAACATAATTGTTGTTTTTATAAAAGAACCGAGATGCTTTAAAAAAAATTAATTTTGTCTTACGGTGAATTTCCTTTAAATCGGGTAATGTCTGTTATTCTATGCAACACGAAACTCGACTGCGACATGGCAAAGGAAACGCGTAATTATTGCAGAACTTTTATCTTTCAAACATTTCGAGAAGGAACTCAATCACTTTTGGCGAGATTTTCACTAGTTTCTAGACAGGTTTGTCTGTCTATTTTTACGAGGGAGATGGATTGAGCACTATTAGAAAGCAGAAGGAGAGGGAGGGGGTGGGCGAAGCTTAGCAACTAGAGGGAGAGGGGACACGGGACCTTTGAAAATGCAATAAATTTCTATTGTTATTCATGGACGTTCACATCGCAGATGATGAAAACATTTACAGTTTTGAACTTTTAAAAAATCCATGTCAGCAAATAGTAAAGCAGCATACTTAATATTGTAGTGCCTTCGAGAAACAGACGTTGATGGTCAACAGTAATATACAAGAACTTGAGGATAAAAATCACGAGGAATGCGATTTGTTTCAAAAGTACATCAGCAACGATGATATTTTTGATGGCATCGTAAGAAGATGGTGGACGAGCTTACAGGAATGATTTACCATCAAGGTATATTTACGATCAGACTTATGGCGCGTGCAAATATTTATTGTACAAATAGGATATTGTGTCCCCAATGATCCGTTTGTAACCTTTACGCAGCGGAATTTGTAGCGTTGTTGGTGTAAATCATTCGTAACTTGAGTTGAATAACAAAACATACTCGTTCATTGAAGCACGATTTTTAAAATCTTTACTTTTGAGGAAAAAAATTGCGTTTTGAATCAAGTTCCAAAACATAGCAAAAAAACTTTTGCTGGAAAATTTCGAACACTCGTTCTGTATCGTTCAAGTCATTGAGACTTCAGTGTTTACTGCTGGCGTGACGGACTTCTTAGTCGCAACAACCTTCTTTCGTGCGCATTTGTTGAAAAATGATGCAGTTGTTAAAAAATAATTGCCAATACTTAACATGTTGTCACGTGACATCAAGTAGATGTTTGCGCAGATGCTTTTGTACGCTTAACACTTTGGTGAAAATGGTTTTTATCAAACTGAATAACATACACAGAAAGAAAATGCATGGAATATTTCATCAACAAGAATCAACTTAATGTTTCAACTACATTTTTGATTTGCGTTGTAAAAAAGTCATCACTGCTTGCGCGCATTCTTCCCAGACCCATCTTTGAGCAATCAGTTCGCATTCTATATTACTTTCATTATGGAGTTTCTCCAGTTCAGCTGAGTGACATAATTTCTTCGACATTGAGAGCGACTGCAATGGAGAGAAGCATTGTATGGTTAAATGAAACGAAGCAATAACTTTAAAGTCCAGATTTGTGCTACCTTCGGCGGCAACGCAGCCACGTATTTCATTATGTTGTTAATTTCTTTTTCAAACTCGGCTTGAGGAATAACTTTTGTCACCAAACCGTAGTTACACGCTTCGACCGCAGTCAGTTTTTTTCCAACGAGTAACATCTCATTCGCCTGAGTGCAAACTAATACGAAATGTGTGAAAATCATACCTTAACTCTTAACTGCATTAAGATAACGATACCTTGTTAATAATTGAGTTAATTAAACAAGAAGAACAGGGCTCAAAATAACGGTCAGGCAACGGACAATGATTTTCAAAAATACCTATGTATCGGTAACATTTTCAGTTTTCCCATAATAATTTATTATTCGGTTTTCCTTTCAATATGTTTTTGCAATATTGAGCGTCAATTTTTTTCATACGTAAAAACCATGCTTTCTCTAGTAATTATATGCTGGCTCGGGGCTTGTTGCATTGAAGTAACGATTCCGTTCTCGTAAATTGTGTCGTGAAAAGCGGCACGCGGCTTTGGCTGAAAAACTTGAAAAGTATATTTGGAATGTGAGATATATTGACATCGGACATTTCTCGTTTTGCTTCCTTTGCAACATTACTCCTTTTACATTTAGGCAAGGGTAAAGTTCGTTCGTTGAATTTTGGTGAAGAAGCCATTATCAATGAAATTGAAAGCGATGTGGTAAGTTTATGTTATGTTTCTATATCTTTAGATGATTCTTGCCTTGATGTATTTTTTTCAATCATATTTAGCAGATATAATCACCAACAACTTGATTTTCACGTTTGCTAGCGGCAGGAATACGTCTAAAAAGATATTGTGATAAAAGTCATCCCATAAAAATCTATTGTATTTAATTATTGGTACTTAGGTGTGTGAAATGTAATCTTTGGAATTATGTGCATAAACTATAGTTTTTGAGTGTGAGGTGCATGAAATATAGTGTTTGCAAGCTAATTGTGTGAATTATAGTGTTTATGAGTTAGGTGCAGCAAGTATAGTCTTAGTGAGTTAGGTGGATTCATTATAATACTTGTGATTTAAGGGCATAGGCTATAACAGTCAGGAGTTATGTTCATAAACTCTAGTCTTATGGTGTTAAGTGCAGGAACTATAGTCTTTGAAAGTCAATGTAATATATTATGAAAGAAATGCATGCGATTTTATGATAAATTAATTTTGCTGATGCATTGTTACTTTGCATATCATTATTTCATATTTTCTCATATTGTAGATCCCACATGGATAGAGTTGTGAAAGTCCCTTTACTACCTCTGTCATTCACTTCAATTACTCTTACTAGTTTTTCATTGTTCATGTGTCATGGTGATTCATGGCCAAGAATGTTTTTTTGTAGTTTGAATTCTTTGTGGATGTCAGTTGTTTGTTCGTATAATGATGACGGGCCCCATTATTATATGAGCCCACCTGAAGGTGGTCAACTGATACTCGCAGAAGATCAACTCTGCACTAAACATTCTTTATGTGATGATAGAACTGGGGTATTGAAGTGGTCCCTTTCGCTTTGCTCAAAGTTGCGTATATAAAGAAAGGAAGTAGCTACAAAAGAAGATGGAAAAAGTTTGGTTATAGCCAACATCATTAATAGAAAACGTTTTGTGATGAATGATTATAGGCCTCTTGATTTATCTCTATTGTTCTTGTGAAAATCTCAATGGTTTTTATTGATGGTACTGATTTTTGGTTTGTTTATTGAATGGCACATTTATGCTGTTAATTGCATAGAGGTACAGATTGTTCAAATTGTGGTGTAGACTTGCAGTAAATACGACCTACGACTTCTTCTCACGTGTCCTAAACCTTTGATCGCTGCGGTAAACGGTCCAACAGCTGGATTTGGTCTTTCCCTTATCGCACTGTCTGATATAGTCTTTGCTTCAGAAAAGGTAATGTATTGAGTTAGTAAAATTATTCATCCTAGCTGGTCTGACTTCATCTGTGTTTTCAAGTGTTTAATTTCAGAGTTATATTTAATATGGAAAATAGTGATTGTCTCAAAAGAGTTTTTTGCGCATACCGTCACGTCACTAACATTTAAGTCATTTTTGAGAGTTTTGTGGAAAAAAGAAAGGAATTGATATAATTTTAAAAACAGCCAAACTTTCTTTAATATCATATGTCAAACATTTATTGAGTCGTTTTTCATTGGTCAATTTACTTCGCCAATGAATGCAATAAACACGTCAATAATACATTCAGACGAAAATCCCCAAAGTGAGAAAGTTTATTTGGTAACGGGGCGATATTAAACCTCGACGGGTTCAGTTTCCTTTACCCCCATACTTCCCTCTTTACCCACACCCCCTTAATATAATTGAGTACTTTATTCACTCCCAGTGACTCCTCAGTACAACATTACGTAATTTTTATTTCAGTTTACATATTCGTCGTGTTTTTAAAGGCAACTTTTCAAACGAAGTTTGTGGAGTGGGGTCATCCTCCAGTTGGATGTTGCTCTCTATCTTTACCTCATTTATTTAATCATTCACAGGTACATGTGACTTGTTTATATTAAACAGAGGCCTGGGCACAAGGTCATATTTTGAATCGTTAGGTATTTGAGTTGTATCCACGCCTATTGATCACTTTATATAAAGATTTAAATGTTTTGTTTTCTTGAACCTGAGAGGATGTGTTATGTTCTGAGGTGTTAAAAATTAACTGTGAGATTGAAAAGTTATTAAAACTACGAATAGCTTTATCTAAGTTCCCACAAAATGCTTTACTCCCTATCCCTACCCCCTCGCCTCAAAGAAAGTGTATCGTGAAACATAATTGTTGTTTTTATAAAAGAACCGAGATGCTTTAAAAAAAATTAATTTTGTCTTACGGTGAATTTCCTTTAAATCGGGTAATGTCTGTTATTCTATGCAACACGAAACTCGACTGCGACATGGCAAAGGAAACGCGTAATTATTGCAGAACTTTTATCTTTCAAACATTTCGAGAAGGAACTCAATCACTTTTGGCGAGATTTTCACTAGTTTCTAGACAGGTTTGTCTGTCTATTTTTACGAGGGAGATGGATTGAGCACTATTAGAAAGCAGAAGGAGAGGGAGGGGGTGGGCGAAGCTTAGCAACTAGAGGGAGAGGGACACGGGACCTTTGAAAATGCAATAAATTTCTATTGTTATTCATGGACGTTCACATCGCAGATGATGAAAACATTTACAGTTTTGAACTTTTAAAAAATCCATGTCAGCAAATAGTAAAGCAGCATACTTAATATTGTAGTGCCTTCGAGAAACAGACGTTGATGGTCAACAGTAATATACAAGAACTTGAGGATAAAAATCACGAGGAATGCGATTTGTTTCAAAAGTACATCAGCAACGATGATATTTTGATGGCATCGTAAGAAGATGGTGGACGAGCTTACAGGAATGATTTACCATCAAGGTATATTTACGATCAGACTTATGGCGCGTGCAAATATTTATTGTACAAATAGGATATTGTGTCCCCAATGATCCGTTTGTAACCTTTACGCAGCGGAATTTGTAGCGTTGTTGGTGTAAATCATTCGTAACTTGAGTTGAATAACAAAACATACTCGTTCATTGAAGCACGATTTTTAAAATCTTTACTTTTGAGGAAAAAAATTGCGTTTTGAATCAAGTTCCAAAACATAGCAAAAAAACTTTTGCTGGAAAATTTCGAAAAATAGGGATTCTTCCCCTCTTGAAAATGAATTTAGTCTTATTCCATTATTTCATCAAAATGTTATAATTCAAGCATTTAAACACATTTTCCACTTAAAAACAACTTTTACGAAAGTAGGGATTCCAATCCCCTGAAAATGAATGCTATCATATTTCCACATTTTCACCAAAAGACTAATTCATGCATTTGAACATATTTTCCACTTAAAAAACAACTTTTACAAAAAATTAAGTCCACCCCCCCTCCTGAATATAAGTTTTATAATATTTTCATATTTTCACCAAAAGACTATAATTAATGCATTTCAACACATTTTCACAAAAGACTATCATTAATGCATTTCAAAGAACTTTTACATAAAATTAAGTCCACCCCCCTCCTGAATATAAGTTTTATAATATTCTCATATTTTCACTATAAAACTATAATTAATGCATTTCAACACATTTTCGACTTAAAAAACAACTTTTACAAAAACAGGGATTCCAACCATTCTGAAACTGACTTTTATACTATTTCCATTATTTCATAAAAAGACCATAATTCATACATTTGAACAACATTTTTGCATCAAGAAGAACTTTGACAAAAAAATCGAGTCCTGAAACTGACTTTTATAATATTTCCATATTTTCATCAAAAGGTTATAATTCATGCATTTGAACACATTTTCCACATTCAAAAGAAGTTTTACAAAAAATCGAGTCAACCCCCCCCCGAAATTTAATTTTATCATATTTCCATATTTTCACCAAAAGACTATAATTAATGCATTTCAACACATTTTCACAAAAGACTACAATTAATGCATTTCAAAGAACTTTTACATTTCATGTGTTTTTCGCCAAACGAGATATGTGTAATTGATGTCGGTAATCACTCGATTTTGGTATCTACTGTATAACGTTGTTTAAGCCGCATATCTATTCGGATTCCAGACATTTAAAATCAAAGAGAAACTGACAGGAGTTCCGAAAGGTTCTACCTTATTGTGATTGTTCTTCCCCCCTCATTCCGTAAAATTCCCCCCCGGAAATGTTAACAGACAGACACAAATCGAGATTTTACCTCTATATAGGTCGAGTAGAGGAATGGACCGAGACATGTCAAGATTAGTGTGCTGCCACGCTGATGCGTGGCAGCAAAAATCGCAGTAACTCCAATATTTTGCGATATAGGTACTGCGCATGCGCGAGTGAACTTCTTTGCATGCGCAGTGCTATCTCATAAACTACTGGTGCTACGGCGATGATCTTTAACTCATCTTAAAGCTCTCGATGAGCTCCTAAGTATGAGCTATTCAAAATCGTAGTAACTCCAATATTTTGTGATATAGGTTCTGTGCATGTGCGAGTGAACTTCAGCGCATGCGCAGTGCTATAGCCTAACTTACTAGTGCTACAGCGATTCTCTTTAGCTCAATGAACTCTTTCGAATGAGCTATTCAAAATCATCGTAACTCTAATATTTTGTGATATAGGTACAACGCATGCGCGAACGAACTTCTGCGCATGCGCAGTGTTATCTCCTAAACTACTGGTGCTAATGGGATGATCTTTAGCTCATCTGAAACCTCTTGACAAGCTCTTTCGAATGAGCTATTTAAAATCACTGTAATTCCAATATTTTGCGATGTAGGTTTCGCGCATGCGCAGTGCTATCTCCTAAACTATTGTGCTACAGCGATAATCTTTAGCTCATCTTAAAGCTCTCGATGTGCTCTTTCGAATGAGCTATTCAAAATCTCGGTAATTCCAATATTTTGCGACATAGGTACTGCGAATGCGCGAGTAAACTTCTGCGCATGCGCAGTGCTGTCTCCTAAATTACTGGTACTACGGTGATGATCTTTAATTCATCTTAAAGCTTTCGATGAGCTCTTTGGAATGAGCTATTTCAAAATCGTCGTAACTCCAATATTTTGCGATAGAAATTCTGCGTATGTAGATAGATAGATAATTTTATTTTAACACGCTTACCATTGTCAACATACAAGTTGATTTCCACATGGGGCGTGTGCAAAAATGAAAATTACAATAGAATAGTGAACTACTTACATTTTACGATACACAAGACACTAAAATGTACATTAAATGAAGCATAGCTAGGTTAGAAAGCTATTTACAATTAGTTGAGTACATAATTTGTTTTGGGAAAGTGGGAAGCGATTTTTCTTTGAAAGGTCGCTAGAGAACTAATTTCTTTAAGTTCATTTGGCAATGAGTTCCAGACTTGTGGCCCATTAAATGCTAGGCTTTTTTTCATGCTATTGCTTCTTGGCTGAGGTAAGCATAGTGTTTTTTTTAAAACCACGAAGTTGGTAATCAGTTGATTCGCTCTTGAAACTAAATAAGGTAGTGATTTTGGACCCATGTTGTTAAGCAATTTAAACATGAGCTTTGCTTTACTTTTTTGCCTTTCAATATCAAGAGGCTTCCACTCTAAAGATCTCAAAGCAATTTCGTGATCAACAATATTACTCATGTTTGCGATGATTCTCGCAGCTCGATTTTGAAGTTTTTGTAAGCGTTTGGATTGAGTTTCGCTGAACACGTCCCAAACTTCACAGCAGTAAGTAAAGTAAGGATGTATAAGAGCGTTGTAAATGGAAAGAAGAGTGTCTTTATGGACATAGTCTTTAGCCCGACGAAGAGCTGATATCCCTGAGGCAATCTTCTTACAAATATTGTCAGTATTTTTCTTCCACGACAAGTGCTGATCGAGGGTCACACCAAGAGACTTAGAATCCCAAACTTGTTTTATTGTTTTGTTTTCTATTGCAATGTTTGGTTGCTGATTTGCTATACTTTTGATAATTGGTTTAGAGCCAATCAACATAAATTCAGTCTTTGCAACATTTAGGCTTAGTTTATTAGCAATCAACGGTTGCATATACTTACAGAAGATAATACTCTAGTGAAATGCCTAATAAACATTTATGGCATTAAGCTGTCCTTAACTGCAAATTTTCACTGATAATTTTTGCTTAATCTTTGGCAGAAAAAAATTTTGAGTTTTTTCTCAAAAGGTGAATTTGCTAACACTGATGTGGAGATGGGTAAAGCGTTACAATAAACTTGCATGGTTTGAAGTCTGAACTTTTCTATATCTATGAACTGTCATTTGTAGTACTAAATTTCTAACTTAACTCATTACATAGAGGTTTGAATGGGGGTCTCTAGGGGGGTCTATGCCTGACAACTTGGTAGAAATTTTTAAAGACAATATCTGTATTTGAATAGCATTATTGTAAAATAAATTTTATGTTCCTAGACATGCTAATGAGCCATATATTTGACACGGTAATGAGCCTAAATATTTGGCAAAACATTCAAGTATTGTTCACTTCATTTTTTTTTTGAAAAAAACGTAAGCAAAATGTGTTGTTTTTACGCAATGCGTTGCCCACAAAACGATGCGTTGCCCACAAACGATGCCCACAAAATACATTTTGTATTGCTCTAAAACGCTGAAAATGGCATTTTCACGGCTCTGGAATCCAAAATTTCTTAGGGGAGAATGCCTCAGACCCCCCCAGGTGTGGAGTGCCTCCGACCTTTATGACTGATGTTTGAAAAATCCTAGATCCGCCCCTGTCTCAAGACTATACTAACCTGGACGATCTACATCTACAAACATGTAATATTCACATCAGAAGCATACCGTAGAACATGCATATATATGAATATTACCTCCCCCCCAACTAATTATCAGTTTTGTCTTCCTGCCACGAAAAGCTAACCAATGGTCATGTAAAGTGAAAATTTTATTGCAATAGAAAATACCCTGATTGTCCTCGCACAAACACACTGTTTGATGGCCTCTCACGTGGGAAGAGCTGGCTAATATGTCATTATTTCATGTCATGAGTGACACTTACCAACGACATTATTTAAGTTGAGTATTTCACTCTGCAATTCTTTAACAATCAATTATATATTAAGTTGACACAAATAACAATGTCAGATACAATTTCAACATATTCCCAACTTTGTGAAGAACAAGTAATTAGTTATATAATATACATCCATACTTGCAGTAAGCTATTTCATTTTACATATTTCCTTTGCTCTCCCATCTTTCTTTCTGCTGAAATCCCCAAAGTAATTTTTTCTTTCTTTTGGATTTATTCCATTTTATATTAGAATTGTTTGCCTTTTGGTAATCTCTTGTACTTATTGCTTCAGTTATCTTAACAGCAAGTTCTTCTTGGGACATTTGATCACTCAGTTTCTCAGCCTCGGTAAAATTCCCCCGGCTTATGGCTTTGTCCAACTTCTCTTCCAGCTGTGACTAAAAATTAATGGAATTATTAAGTTGGACAGATAATATAATATTTAATGTAGCTTCATCACTTGAAACTAAAATGGACAATACCTTTAGGAAATAATTACCTAACCAATTCTTTAAAAAAGGTTCAATGAACACCATAAAGTTACTGAAAACACTGACAAACAATTGCTATGAAACATAGCATGATGTCGACAAACTGTCAACTTAGTACATGTAAAGATTATTTAAATTTATGTCAGCACTTTTGTATTAAAAATGAAATAATTCTATGTTTCATGTTATAGATCTAAAATTTTCAAATCCACTACAAAGAGAATGCTTTCCTATCCAGTTGAAGCAAATCTAGTTCTAGTGTACTTTAGTTGTAAACTAACCTTTGGTTGATCCTTGGAAATACAATGATGTACATTTGCATCAATATTTGCACAAATTTCTTTCCATCCATTAGCGTTATTTTGCAATATTTCTCTAAACAAGAAGAAATCAAAATTCTAGAAAGAAAAAGTCACAAAGATAATATTAATTACATGAATATTACACATATACTTTAGTTTACCTCATTGGTGTTTTCAAACCTAATGATTCACCTAAAACATAAAAATATTCAAATTTTACATTTCCTGCATTACCATGACACAATCTACCAACAACCATGAACTATATATGTACATATAAACTACAATTGCTAACCATCGACACTTTTTTCTCTACACCGTTTTCTTACAGTTTTCTCAGACAAAGGTTTGCATGATATTGCTTGATTCCTTGCTTTTAATTGCTCAAATTTCTACAAAATTACAACTCCATTCTCAGTGTTTTCGTATTTTTTCTCACATATCAGTACAATCCAGTTAACTATCAAAAAATTTTCAACTTTTTACCATTAGGTTTTCACAGAAACGAGAACGCTTCTCTTTCATAATTCCGGCTTGTTTTGGTTCGGCTTCAGCGAAATAAACACAGGATGACTGTCCAGAAACATTAATAAAAATGTCCATTGACTCTTCTTTGCTTGAGTTAGACTGCGTTAAAAGCATCTTTGGAGGTGCAACTTGTGAATACATATTATACATCAATTGAAGAATAATACCGGTGAACACCATATAACGACAATACATTTTATAGATATAAAGGGTTAACCGGGTATAACCCGGGCGATGTCGGGGACGCGCCTATTAGCTTCCTGGTCAGCGGCAAAAGCGTTTACATAATAATCGCTATAAGTACAATATGTTTACAAGGTTAAATAGTTGGAATGTTATTAAACAAAAAGAATGATAGCATAACGCTATAACCAACAACTACAAACAATAACGACCTTATCTAACAACATTTGAGAAATTAACCTTTCACTCCTCTTCCTTGTAAACGAGACAAGCCTACTCAAAAGCAGAGAGCCTTATACGCTACAAGTCCCGGGCTTGTGACCGGTATAGCAGAGTTAAAAGGTGAATGGTTTATCATAGATTGATCAACTGAATATTCCTCCTCATTTTTGTTTGGAAGCATGTTGAACAGTTCATATGGACAAAGCTCGAATGCCATATTAAATATCAGTAACATAATCCGGTGTTAATTAAATCAAGATATGATCTTCGCACTTTGCTGGACAATTTAAGCAATCGTCTCAGGACCTGAAAAAATCAGGTGACTCAACGGGATTCGAACGCATGACCTCTGCGGTGCCGGTGCAGTGCTCTGACCTACTGAGCTATGAAGTCACACAGTGGTGAGCAGGTCAATATTGTTGGGCTCATGTTTTCTCGTGAAAGGAATGTCGTATGAATGTTTTATGAATGTTATAATCCGGTGTTAATGTTAGACAATACATCATTGCCCTTCAGTGAAAGCATCCCGCTTTCCACTGGAAAAGAATGAATCTTGGCCAGAGATTTGCCAGGCGGAAAGCGAATTTTCAATATGAACATAATAGCCCAACATAATACTTTTAAAAAAGCCATCACAATAATAAAATAGAGAAGGATTTATTAATTACGTTTCGTCTTTAACTTAAGACATCTTCAGATTAATGAGTTAATATATATACACGAGGTTTTAAATACAAGCATATAATATGGGGTGTTAAATTACATGTGAGAGGAGTAGGAAGTTTAGATGACGGAATTAAGTGAGAATGGCGGTATATTAAAGAAGGTGAAGGAGGATTGAGTTGCCTTGGGTGTTAAGAGAGGGTTTAAGTTTGGATATAAGAAGGCTTTCATGAATCATAAGGTCATAATTGTCGGAGGAGGAAGAGAGAATTGAGAAATCATTAAAATCGGCAGGGTGAGATGTATTTCTTATATGAGAAAGGCAGGGTGAGATGTATTTCTCATATAAGAAATACATCTCACCCTGCATCTCGGCAGGGTGAGATGTATTTCTCATATAAGAAATACATGAAACCCTTTATATATCCAAACTTAAACCCTCTCTTAACACCCAAGGCAACTCAATCCTCCTTCACCTTCTTTAATATACCGCCATTCTCACTTAATTCCGTCATCTAAACTTCCTACTCCTCTCACATGTAATTTAACACCCCATATTATATGCTTGTATTTAAAACCTCGTGTATATATATTAACTCATTAATCTGAAGATGTCTTAAGTTAAAGACGAAACGTAATTAATAAATCCTTCTCTATTTTATTATTGTGATGGCTTTTTTAAAAGTATTATGTTGGGCTATTATGTTCATATTGAAAGAATGAATCTAATATCGATGTTAAACATAGATTGTTACAAGCATCCCGCTTGCCGATATGTAGGAATATTCAGTTGATTAATCTATGATAAACCTTTCATCTTTTAACTCTGCTATACTGGTCACAAGGCGTGACTGTAGCGTATAAGCAGTGTTGCCAGATGGGCGGTTTTCCGCGCGATTTTTTGGGCTGGAAAAAATTTTGATGATCTAGCTTCCACGTGTTTTTGTTTTTGTCGTGGTAAACAGCAATTGCGCTTATATTGTAGTGACGTACATAACGTGCGTATATTATTCATCTAGATTTATGTATTAGCAATAGAGGAAATTACGGTGGCCCACAAGTATCACGGCAAATTAAAAACTCGCGGCAAATTAAAAACTCGCGGCAAATTTAAAACTCGCGGCAAATTAAAAACTCGCGGCAAATTAAAAACTCGCGGCAAATTAAAAACTCACGGCAAATTAATAACTCGCGGCAAATTTTTGACAATGTGGTGAACCCATTGAGTTCTATAATAACTAGAGTGGCAAACTTTACTGGGGCGAGGATGCCAAAAAAATGGCGGCCAAAGGACGTATTTCCGCTGAAATGATCGCTTTGCAGAAAAATAATATTCTCGACCTCCCCCGGATTGATGTTATTGATTTTCCCTCCTTTAATTGAAAATTTCAAATGCAATTGCGAGCTGTATGATAAATAAACAATATTTTTCAAGGCCAAAACAATATTTTTTCAAAAATGCCTAATCGATGTTCAATTGTAGAATGTCGCAATATTGACAACAGGAAGCACATCGCTTTTCACAGGTGAGTTATTCGCTTATTTTGTTTGTTCCTGAAAGATTGAATCGGCATTTATACAATTGAAAGCCCCAAAATCTGTTAGGCCTTATGAAAAAACATTGTCTTAAATACTGCATACACTGATGTTTTCCTGTGTGTTTTTTTAAAAAATTCAACAAATTTTTTTCTTTATTTGTTGAATCAACGCATGAAACAATAAATTTACTAATCTAATTCAAATAGTTTTCCTGACGAAGAAAAAACCCTGCACTTTCTTCGGAATGGGTAAATAGTATAAAGAAATAAGTGGAGCAAAGTTTGTTCATATCATTTTTCCGATAGCATGAAGAGAATATCAGGTAACAAAGTGTGTCTAGAAGATAGTGCCGTGCCCACATTATTTCAACAGGTGCAGGATGTTGAATGTACGAAGAGCACTGAAAAGGTGAGTCGTCATTTTTCTACTCATGATCACTCGTATTGTCTTAAGTCTCCCAGGAGACTGAAAAGACAATTGGAAGATGTTATAGACAGGGCAGAGTCTTATAGAAAGAGGTTAAAAGTGTCTAATATGGAAAAATGTAGACTGAAAAAGAAGGTAAATGATTTATTGTCAATCATTGATTGCCTTAAAGATGATAAAATGATCAGCTCTGATCAAGCTGAACTTCATAATGCTTCACTATCTGGGGTTCCTGAAGATATTTTGAGTCGTTTAGTGGCAAACACTCAGGGTAAAAAAGGAGCTCAGTACCCCCCAGAATTGCAAGCTTTTGCACTAACTTTGAAATTTTACTCGCCTAAGGCTTATGATTATGTTCGTGAGAAGTTTAATTTAGCCTTACCTCATCCAAGAGTAATTCGATCTTGGTATAATTCCATGGATGGTGACCCTGGTTTCACCAAGGATGCCTTGAATGCTTTGAAAGTGAAGGTTCAAGAGTCAAAGAAAGATGGCAAGGTAGTCATATGTGCATTGATGCTGGATGAAATGTCAATCCGCAAACACGTAGAATGGGATGGTCAAAAAGTTTGTGGTTATGTTGACCTTGGTACTGGGATTGATGATGATTCACTCCCTGAAGCAACAGAAGTTTTGGTATACATGGCTGTTGCTCTAGATTCATCTTGGAAAGTACCAGTTGTTTACTTCTTGATAGATGGCCTCACTGCAGAAGTAAAAGCAAATTTAACAAAGGAGTGTTTGATGCAGTTGCATGATGTTGGTGTTAAAGTTGGAAGTTTAACGTGTGATGGTCCATCCACCCATCTTGCAATGATGAAGTTGCTTGAAGTGAAACTTTCACTTAATGATTTCCAAGCATATTTTTTACATCCATCTGATTTAATGTTGAAAATTCATGCATTTTTAGATCCTTGTCATATGATCAAGCTTGTCAGAGGAGCAATTTCTGAATTGAGAACTCTGAAGGATGAAAAAGATGGTTTGGTAAGATGGCAATACTTAGTTGAGCTAGAAAAACTGCAAGCCTCAGAAGGCTTGCGACTTGCCAACAAACTAAAGAAAGCTCACATAAACTGGAAGCCACAGAAAATGAAGGTAAATTTAGCAGTGCAAGCACTCAGCTCGAGTGTTGCAGATGCTTTAGAGTTCTGTGAAGGTAAGCTCAAACTTCCACAGTTTAAAGGGTGTGATAAAACAGTCAAATTCATTCGAGTATTTGATCGCTTGTTTGACGTTTTGAATTCCAGGAATCCAATTGCTAAAAACTACAAAGCACCAATAAGGAAAGCGAATTACAAGCTGATAAAAACCTTCTTGGATGAAGCAAGGCAATACATCTTAAATCTGAAGGGTGCTGATGAAAAGTCGATTTTTTCCCATAAGAGGAAAACCGGATTCTTGGGGTTTCTGTTGTGCATTGAAGCAGTGCAAGGGCTTGCTGAGGATCTTGTTATAAGTGAAAATTCTCCCCTTAAATATTTGCTTACCTATAAGACAAGTCAAGATCATTTAGAATTGTTGTTTTTTTCAGCTGTGCGAGCGTCAGGAGGTTGGAACAACAACCCGACATCTCGACAGTTCAAAGCAGCGTACAAGCAGCTGTTGAAACGACATAACATTAAAGGAGGTCATGGAAATTGTGTTGCTCAGGATGGTACCGAAATTCTAAGTAGACTCGAAGATCGGTGTGAGAGTGAACAAATGTCGGCAGATATTTCCGATGTAAATACTGCAAGAAGATACGATCTAGAACTGCGTGGGCCAGAACAAACTGACCACGATTACAGCGACACCTCAAACTACATTCAGCTTTCAGACTACAAGGAGGCAGCAATATCGTATATTGCTGGCTATGTCGCAAAAATGGTGAAAAGGAAGATCGATTGTGATGATTGTATGGATGCTCTGACATCATCTAAAGAAAGATCACCAGAACTATTTGTGGCATGGAAGAGCAACGGTGGTTTAAAAATACCAACTGACGATCTTCTGAAAGTGTGTCAGGAAACAGAGTAATGTGTAATGAGGATGGTGAATTCCTGCCATGGTGGCTTGCCACATGCAGCAAACATATCGAGTGCAATTGCTGCGACGGTATTATCTGTGTGTGTAGAGAAAAAAGTTTTTAGCATTTTAGATGAGCATGTGTTAGAGTCGACAGTTACAGATAATCATGCTTATAAACTGGATAAAGTGTTGTGCTGAGGCATTTGTGAAAATAAGAATGCATCACTTGACCAAAACGCAAAACGATAAGTTGCATGGTCAGAAAATTCGTAAAAAGCTGTCTAAGCTTGTGTTGTTCAATCATCAGTAGATTGGACGTTGCCTGGACACTTTTGTGTTTTCGAGGCTTTGCCTGTGCCTAGAAATGGAATTTTTCATTTGACTATTCCATTTTTTTGAGGCTGTAGGCATCCTGGCACATAGCAATATGTGTTTCGAGGAGAAATTTAATGGTGCCTGCACATTGGTGTTCGAGGCTTAAAAATGTAACATGAAATTATAACCTAGTTTACGTAACTAAACAATTAAAAAGAATGAAAAATAATTCGAAATGCAAGTCTTCTATGTGAGTATTCCTCTACAACATAGTAGAATATAGAACCACAATAGCACAATATTCATTTTGATTTACTTTTTTTATACAGAAAAAAATCCTCAACAAAACAGCCCAAATGGACGACATAAGAAAACTATTTTGTGGTCCTAACATTGATAGCACTTTCCTGGCACATAGCAATACGTGTTTCGAGAAGAAATGTAATGGTTCCTGCACATTTGTGTTCGAGGCTTAATATTGCAACATGAAATTATAACCTAGTTTACGTAACTAAACAATTAAAAAGAATGAAAAGTAATTCGAAATGCAAGTCTTCTATGTGAGTATTCCTCTACAACATAGTAGAATATAGAACCACAATAGCACAATATTCATTTTGAACTATTTTTTTTATACAGAAAAAAATCCTCAACAAAACAGCCCAAATGGACGACATAAGAAAACTATTTTGTGGTCCTAACATTGATAGCACTTTCAATCAGATCGAGCGTTGTAGTAAGTGCTTTTTTCAAAATTAAACCAGTCTGTCAATTGATAAATGAATTGTTGACGTTCTTTTAAAAATAAACGCTACTCAATATTAAACGCACGTGTTTAACTTACAGGTGACATTATGAATATTGCCGGGATGATCTGCATGCGGAAGTCCTTGAACAACGTTCATGATGCGTAACATTTTATCTTTAACATTTTTTTGCTCCTTATAGTTCAACGAGTTCACATTGTTTATATAGTTTCTTGACTTGTAAAAAGCCAATGGTTAAACTTCGAATAACTTGAAAAAATTTTAGAAGAATGTTACTTGAATGCAGGGTGTGACTTGAGTCCCGAGAATGGAGAGGGAAACGTTGCAGAATTTGATTTGCCCAACAAAACGTAGTAATTTTGTATGTTAATACCAGCAAAATCGCTTTTACTTAGTTATGAGTTGATCCAAACGTCATCGCTAATATTTGCCTTTTAATTTCCGCAAAATTACATGCTTTGCTCGACAAAACTGCTAACTTTTGAAGGGAGAGGCTGAGCCACCACATATCAATCCCTCTCCAGGATTTACACCCTGTTTCAACGTTACTGATACAGCAATTTACGATTTGTGCACGCTAAATTTACATGTATATTATCATGGGAATCATCTCTTACAAACTATAAAAAACTTTAAAATTCAATGCAATATTTAGTTCTTCATAGTTAAAAAAAAGTTTGATTTGTTAACCAATCAGAATACAGCATTGGCGTTTGTCATTTGCATTTTTTCCCTTTTTTTAAATACTATAAATATTTTAAAACTTGTCTGAATTTTCCTTTGCTTATTTCTTGTTTTATTGTATTTGCCAACTTTCTATTGTGGTCCATGGATGAAAAGAGGTTAGTACAGATCAACAATTTAATAATTTCTGATCTGAAAAGCTTTATATGAAGCTTTCAGCATGGAAGTAAACAAAAAGTGATTCATTTACATGGTTTAAATCCCTTCTTGCAAAATATCTATTTACACTTTATCGTTTTTTGCATACAAAAACACCAGATGCTAGATTATACAGATGAGGAAAAAGCAATGGACACTGGTATCAAATGTGTATAAAATATGTTTTTGTTTTGAAAACTGAAAATCACTCAAATAGTTCAATTGCATTCAAAACAGGTCAGGAAACTGAAGAGAAAGATAACGAAAATGCAAGTGTGTATTTAGCCAAAAATGGTTATACTGCTTAATGATTGTTTTTTGCATTATTACACAATACATCAATGCATCACAATGTGCTAAAAATCTACTACTATTTGAGGTGGCTCCAATTCTGAAAACCAAAAAAATAAAGAAGGTAAACAGTGCTTTGTATACAATACTGTTCTCATTCATATATGATATATGCCCATCAGCTCTCTTATGATACTTTTGTCTTTTCACCTGAGTCTTTTCACCATGAGTCTTTTCACCATGAGTCTTTTAACCTGAAATTTAATCATACACATAACAAATCAAATAGCACCTAACAAACGATTTGTTTATGTAGAAAGCAATGTCAAAGCAAAAAGTTCATTTAAAGGTGTGGTATAGTGTATACATGTACTAATTGCCTTTGATGCCAGGCTGATAATTGCCATTGTTTTTTTTAATGAAGGACGATGCTATAATTGTGGCCACAAAGGCCACAAAATGAATGAATGCGAGAAAAGTAATGACAAAAAATGAAATAACATTTCTTTCATGACCATTGTAATTGACAATTATATACTTTTTTTTGTATAGAGTTTAATCGTATGAGAAGAAGTAAGTTTGATTGACCTAGTGATAAAACATCAGCTTGATTAGATGGTTGAAAACCTCAAGTTGCATGCATTATTGTTAACAGAAATAAGCTAATGACACAAACAAATAAAAAGTGTCATTAACTACAACTTCCTTATGAATATTTAACAGGACGACGTTGCTACATATGCAAAAGATTGGGCCATGTTGCCAAGCAGTGTAAGGAAGGAAATCTACCAGTCAAAAACGTGCTGAACAATTGCAGCAACTGTACAATAAACCTAACAAGAAAATAAATTTTAAATATATTTTTTTTTTGTCATTTAGTTATCTTTATCAGAAATACAAAAAGATTATATATTGTTTTTTTTCTCAAAACTTCATTAAAAGAAAATTCTTATTGCAAATATGTTGTGTAACTTAGTCTGATTGCACTAACATACATTACCACATTGCCATAAATATGACTAAAGAGTACTCTTTAAGAGTTAAGTAAAAAACAAATTCTAAAGAAACAAGACATCTTGAGATGTAAATGTGAATCAACACAAGACGTGAAGTGAACTGTAAATTTTCGATTTATTTCAAAGTCATCCACAGACAGAATGATAATCCAAACCATGCATACACATATATTAAGAAATGGTTTGTTAACACGGGACTTAAGGCTAGCAAAAAATTACAACTCTTCTCTTAAATTACAATACACTCATTCCACCAGTCTGGTCTCTTGTTTCAATTCATCCTTTAAAAATATGACAGCTCTTCCAACTCCGCTTTCGTAAATATCAAACTTTTTAATTTCTATTGCTTGACTTTCGTTACTTAATTCATGCATTGTAAATATATATGTGTATGCATGGTTTGGATAATCATTCTGTCTGAGGATGGCTTTGAAATAAATCGAAAATTTACAGTTCACTTCGCGTTTTGTTTTCGTTCACATTTTTTCATCTCAAGATATCTTGTTTCTTCAGAATTTGTTTTTTACTATCTTTTTTAAATTGTCGGCTGGACATGGCTTTAAGACTTTCTCCTTACCTTGAAAAGAGACCACATCGTCCACATCGTCCACATGTACATTAGACACGACGTTTAAAAACGTTCAAACGCAGCCAACAAAGAGTTCTTTCGCACATAGTTTATAGTTAATAGCTTTCCTCGTAGGAGCCAAAAACTGGAAAGCTAGGTTGACTCGCTGTTACGAATTGCAGGTTTTTATCGTGATTTTCATCAAAAAATTGCTTGCCGAATCCCAAATACACACATACATTTTCCTCACTCTTTCCTCAGGAGGGAGTGGGAAATTGTGAAATTTTCGGAAAAGCGGTCAATTTCGGTAAATCTCAGCGGCAAAGGACGAAATCCGCCATTTTTTTGGCATCATCAGATATCTAAGGCCGCCCTAGAGATAGCCGCTCCATTGAGTTCTATAATAACTAGAGCGGCTATCTCAAGCGCGGCCTTAGATATCTGATGACGCCAAAAAAATGGCGGATTTCGTCCTTTGCCGCTGAGATTTACCCAGTGAACTCCATATATATATATATATCTGGAATGATAACTACAATACATTTTATAGATATAAAATTGAAGCCAAAGTCCTAGTCTCTTGCGCGGTTTGTACGTCAGTTCCAGTCCTTCAAAGTCGAATATTCACGCGGTTTGTACGTCAGTCTCATTCCCCTGAGTGCCAAACATACACGGCCAATATAAATTTGAATACAAACTGCAAAAGCGTAAACATATAAACAACATCACGACAAACAACACACGAGGCAAACTCCTCGCAAAAGGTTATTTTTTACAGCTGAAACTTTACTACAGTGAGTTCGTTGTAACTTACAACTTGTAACGAGGAAAAACCAACTGAAAATTACACTGTTTGCTAAAAAGACAATACAATAGAAAATATGACGAGAAAATATTCAAGCATAAATTTTCTTTCGTCGGAAGGTAAACTTTCAAACGGTGTCAGACAGTGTTTGTCTTTTTTGTCATTTAATTGGATTTAAAGATCTGTTTTTCCGAATAAAAAAGAAACTAGAATATCCAGTTTCATAAAAAATATTGAGTCTATAACTCGCATTTTTACTTTTTACAGAGCGATTGTATTTTTCATCGATTTTGATAGAGCTTGAAACTTGAAATACTAAATGGTTGTCATCTCGATATCAATAATTGAATATCCTTAAAGACTTTGATATGTTTTAAAGGAAAACCGCAGCGTAAGAGCAGATCGACTAAGTTCACCTCATCTTGCTTCTCGATTTATCACTTTGATTCACTTTCCATGAACCTTTTCATTCCAAAAATTTCGTTATTTTTACGCTCTGATCAAGATCCAAACTTTACCATTACCAAGGGAAAAATGATTTAAAAAAAATAAAATGAACACGCGAGGACTAGAGCCTGACGTGTGATGACGAATGATGACAACAAATATTTTTTTGGCTTCAATTTTTGGCTTCGGTTATCATTCCAGTTATTCAAATGTCGAGTTCACTGGATTTACCGAAATTGACCGCTTTTCCGAAAATTTCACAATTTCCCACTCCCTCCTGAAGAAAGAGTGAGGAAAATGTATGTGTGTATTTGGGATTCGGCAAGCAATTTTTTGATGAAAATCAAGGTAAAAACCTGCAATTCGTAACAGCGAGTCAACCTAGCTTTCCAGTTATCGGCTCCTACGAGGATGTATTTATAACTATCGACGAAAGAGCTATATGTCGGCTACACATGTATGAATGCAGATGTGCGTCGTTTTCTTACCAGCGTCAAACTTGTTTGATCGATTAAACTCTTTAGTTTATACAAAAAAGTATATCATAGTTCATCTCCACAGTTCACGAGAGAGAAGTTAGCTTATTTGTTATCATTGCTATTTTGCTTCTTTTCATGCAATGGGCAATGGCTTTTTTCGCCAAAATTGTAGGATTTTTACTTGTTTCTTTAAAAAAGTACATATTAAATCTCTGGATATTTACGGATTTTCTGTAATTGAGTTTCATATGAAATTTCAAAAAGACTCAATTCTGCATAGGTTTAGTAAATGAAAACAAACAATATTGTATAGAAATTACTTTAAGTAATCTTTTTGTGATGTTCTGAAGTGCAACTGCGTCAAATACTTGTAAAGTTGTAGCACATTTTGATTTTGTTGTATTGATATATGAATTGGGCAAAATGCAAATAATCATCAAAACACTTATGCTTCCAATGGTGTTTATAATTCATTTGTAGTTTTAATACTTCTACCTTTCTTTTTCACTTTGTTTTGTTTTTCCTATATTTGCAATAAAAGTGCACTATAATTTGAATGATTAACTCAGTTTTCACCTCAATAATAAATTTCATAAGCAGTTGGTAGTGCATTTTGTTCTCTGAGTATCCACATCTGGTGTTTTGTTCATACAAGAATGATGAAGTGCAAGTAGATATGTC